AACTCTCAAATTGTCATCATATCAAGCTTAACAAAATGTTTAAACCTTAGTATTTGTGTCTTTAGACTGAGACTTATTTATTTTACGATTTCCTCCTACTCGATATGCAATACCCAGCTTTCTTGCCGCAGACTTAATCTGAAAATCGGAGATATTAAGCACTTTGTGACTGAGTTTCCCTCTGTGTTAACCTGGCTGTACGCAGACTGTGAAGTGATGGATGGACACATGAATGGATGAAGAAGGGTGCCGCCTTGTCAGATGGGAATTTCCTAGCAGAAATTATTACATGAATCAACTCGAATGTTCGTGACAGGAGAAATCCTGGAACTGCTTTTGTGTTTTGATCGGAAGAGGAAGGCAAATATCCAAAAACCTTTCACTTTGTCTCTTTGTCTTTCGATATCGTTTGCGAAAGCAGTGTCATAAAACAAGTATTTTAAAATAGCTCTACAAACATTGGGGTTCATGATTTGTCATCGAGACGCTGCAGCTGGTGCTTAAGATAGTTTTTAAAATCCATCTAAGAGCTGATGACACGTGATTGACAGGCCGTTAATGCAGGAAAACCCCACAATACTGCAATAAGGAAAATCACAGACCGAAACTCATGGCAATTTACCAAGAGACATTCATTCCTGGAAATACTGACACTTGTTCACGGACACACCTGCAGACAATAACAGGAACAAATGGTGAATATACACGGATGATTTCACAGGACATTAATCCCACACATTTAACCGATAGCAGGAAACACTGTCCCGAATTACTCAAACTTCCCCCTCTCTGATTCTGATATGTAAAGACAGTCATTGACCTCTTTTGATCTACTGACTCATGTTAAATTGATATTTCCTGCTACAGTTGACTGGGTGTCAACGGGTTTCTACTGCAGACACACCTTCTTTCAAGTGAAAACACTCCCAAGATTCTCTTTAGGGAAAAACGAAACTGAATGACATCGAAATCATATTTCCTCAACATGTTTTCCTTGAACCTAAACCAGCAGTTTTCCCCTGGGCCTCACACACACACACACACACACACACACACACACACACACACACACACACACACACACACACACACACACACACCATTGAAACTTCAGTCCTGACACCTTCTTGAACTGCCATGAAATTCCTTGCAAAAATAAATCAACACACAACCTTTCGTCTTATAGGTCACACTGACTCTTCCCAGTAATATTTGCTTACACTACTTGGTCCCAAACTCAAACTAATCATCTCTTTAAACACAGGGATCTCGTCATAATTATCAGTAACTTTCCAAAACATGATGTCCTCAACAAACCAGTTGCATAAGTAATACAAAACACCTTGCACTTATTGAATCAATGGGGAAATTGGGGTAAAACATTGACCCAAATGCAGCTGTAAAACGCGGATTATACTTTTATTTTCACTTTCAATTTCTCCTTTCGTTCATTTTTTATACTATATTTGAAATAGATTGTGCTCCGAGATGTAGGATTTATATATAATGAGAGTCCTTCATGATGTTTTTGGCGATTATTCAGTGTCTCTTCTCTGATTTTTCTCTATTATCGTCTCCACATCATCCAGTCCTGAGATGGATCGTCACACTTCTTCTCCCAGAGCGGTGTGATTATATTGACTCAGTCTGCGTGCTGATTGGTTATCATTTCTCATGATCCCTTATACCTTCAGCTGAGGGTTCACATGTGTGCTCCTGAATCCAGTCTGGTGGATAATAACGGAGGTTTAATCCTTCAGTAGAGATGAGAGTCACATCTGAGACAACTCAAGTTTTCTCCCATGTTTTGGCTTTCCTTTTTGTGAGTTTTCGGATTGATTTTCCTCCAACAACGTAGCACAGATTTCTAATAACTCAATGTGATTATTAAAACTGTCTCAACATCAAGAGCATTTTAGCGTCTCTTTGAATGGGTGAATGCTGACTGTAAAAAGCGCTTTTGAGGGGTCGTAAAGACTAGAAAATCGCTATATACTGCAATATAATGACCATTTGTATGTTCAGAGACAAGTTCATTTCTATCTCGTCGGCAACGATCAAGTTGGTAGTGAGACTTGGTAAAAACTGATATGAGAATCCAGAATATGTATACTGAAAGAGTTCAAACTAACCAACCATCACATGTCCACACACACACACACACACATTCTCCTGGTTCCCTTGAAGTGGTTCATCTTGCAGTACTTAGTGTTGCAAACGGTCTATACTGGCGGCAAAACTATAAACAAACAGAATTGAACTCCTTGTCCTTCCAAGAAGTAGTGTGTGTGTGTTTAGGTGACCTCGAGTGTGTCCAAGTTGTGAAGGCAGTGTTTACTTCAGTCATATTTCATCATCCAGTCATTTGTGAATATTTGTCTTTGTAATCAATTATTTCCAAAATGACCCAAGTGTGTATTTTTTCACTTTGTGTGTGTGTGTGTGTGTGTGTGTGTGTGTGTGTGTGTGTGTGTGTGTGTGTGTGTGTGTGTGTGTGTGTGTGTGTGTGTGTGTGTGTGTGTGTGTGTGTGTGTGTGTGTGTGTGTGCCCTCAAACCATGCCTTTGAAGTGTGTGTAGGTTTTCTTTTGTTTTTTTTTACATCTGTGCTCATTGTAAAAGCTTTCTCTCTTTCCCTGTCTCTGTTTCTGTCTTCCATCAAGCTGAAGGAAAACTCCCGGCGAACATCACACAGCCGGTTTCTTCTTGATGTTTTCAAACCACAGCGATCTGCTGGCTGGGAAATAAAAACAGATACAGAGGCATTGAGACATCAGTCAGTCAGTGCTGAGAGTCTAAACCAGACCATCATCTGTGTGTTGCCCACATGACGGGAACCGGCCCTATTGTTAGACTCAATCTAAAGAGTACAATAACAAAATGGTTACAACAAAACAAACAGGAACAATCTGAGTCGATTTATTGAAGTCTTCTGTGATCCTTTGTTTTTCTATCATGTAGTCAAAGTGATGTTTTACTAAGTCCCTTATGAAAAAGATTCTTACTATTCTTGGCAAAAGGTTAAAAGGTTATCAGGGAAGAAATACGCAAGTGTCACCCTAACCCATTTTGCTGCAATTGTACATCTTTTGAATATGTTCTTTGCATGTTATTGCCTACTCTTGATGTACCAGTCATTGCTGGATTATAACTCAATGACGTCCTCATATCATTTAAAGGGGACCTATCATGCAAAATGCACTTTTGCACGTCTTTTATACATGAATATGTGTCCCCGGTGTTCCAGGGAACTCACCAAGTGTCAGAAAACACAACCCTCTCTATTTTCCTCCATACCCAAATCTCTAAAAAAGGGGCTGCAACGGATCTGATAAAAACTGATCCAGATTTGAACACTGTCCTGACGTCAGGACGGTGGCGCTACGGCTATTGGGCCAACTCCACCAATCAGGAGGAGACAGCCACGGTATATAAAAGTATAAATATGCCTTATATAGGTATGGTCCTACACTATATTATTCAAATATAGCATGATAGGTCCACTTTAAGTTAACCAGTCGTTTATTAACCGGAGATCTTGAATAGTGTGCAGGATCTTTCCACGTTAACTTTGGGAATGGTGGCTTTGCTGATGCAACTTCTGTTGTCAGAAGTGTAGAATGGACGAACATTTGTAAATATATTTAGTTTTGAAACAATACTGCTAGGATTATTGTAAGGTATCCAATCAGTCTTTGCTAAGCATTGATATTCGTCTCTACACATAAGCTTTGGGAGGTTTGGACCAAAGTAACTACGAGAGTTTTTGACTGTTATGCATCAGAGGGATTCATGGTCATGCAAAAGCTGGTAATAGTGTACTAAGTAAGGTTGTAAATGTCAGATGCATGATGGATATGCTACATGTTTGACTTGATCAGTTTGTGTTTTGCCTATGGTTGTCACCCTAACCCATTTTGCTGAAATTCTACATCTTTCGAATATGTTCTTTGCATGTTATTGCCTACTCTTGATGTACCAGTCATTGCTGGATTATAACTAATTGACATCCTCATATAATTGAATTTAATCAGTCGTTTATTGACCGGAAATGTTCTGTTTTTGGACCCTTGAATAGTGTGCAGGATCTTTCCACGTTTACTTTGTGTATGGTGGCTTTGCTGATGCATCTGTTGTCAGAAGTGTAGAATGTGCGTACACAATACAAAACAAATACAAAAACAATAGTGGGATTACTTTAAGGCATCCATTCTGTCTCTGCTACATATTCTTATTAAGACATACGCTTTTAGAGGTTTGGACCAAAGTATCTACTAGAGCTTTTGACTGTTATGCATCTACACTTGGTTCTAGACCTTTCTGAGGGATTTATGGTACTGTAAAAGACGGACAAAGTAGATTTAGATTTGAAGCAATACTGCTAGGATTATAGTAAGGTATCCAATCAGTCTTTGCTAAGCATTGATATTCATCCCTACACATAAGCTTTTGGAGGTTTGGATCAAAGTATCTACGAGAGTTTTGCATCTGAGGGATTTATGGTCGTGCAAAAGCTGGTAATAGTTTACAAAGTAAGGTTGTAAATGTCAGATGCATGATGGATATGCAACATGTTTGACTTCATCAATGGAAAGTAGTTTGTGTTTTGCCTCAAAGTAGAAAATGAATAGTGGCCTTTTAGCTGCTGAACTGTAACCAAACCTTAATAACACTGTGTGCAGATATCGTATGAATAGTTTAACATATTGCTGACCTTAGCAGGTGGGTGTATTATTCTTAAAAATACTGTCGTTGGAAGCGCGCAGCTTATTTAAGCTGACAGAAGGCACCTGGTCTCACTTGTTCCCCATCCACTAGTTCTCTGACCATTCTGATTTACATGTTGGGATTCCGTTAGCTCGTTAGCATACAGGCTGCCTGCCATCTGCTGGATTAGCATGCTGGACGTGCTACTTATGTGGTTTATAAAAACAACAAGTTGCTTTCACACTTTATACACACTTTAGCTCGCTAGAAGAGAGTAGGAAACTCACTGTTCAGATATCTTTACTTTATAGTTTATTACAGGAGTACATTTAACAATCACGGTAACAAAAAAAGGAAAGGAAGAAAGTAGACATTCATATTTAAACTAAATGAAACATTTTTCCTGTAAAAAGAAATACAAATATTATGTACAGAATTACATAAGACCAACAGGTGGAAGAAAGGGGACGTGTAGTCGCATGGCACTTAAAAAATAGACATACCTCGCAAGTGCTTTCTGTTTTCCATAATTAATATCAAATAAAATGCAGTGATAATAAGTCTGAATAACAAAACACAAAATAATTATTACAGTTATCAAATCAACAATATTAACATTTTAAACACTGTTTACAATATAACTGAAATACATAACATTCTAAATACATCCAATATTTACCTTCTCATTTAGGCTAAAAACTCTAGATCTGTAATAGAATAAAAAATAGCATTTCAAATATCTTATAACAACAATATTAATCGTACAATAACATTAATATTAGGTTATTAGTTGACGTAAATAGCTGATTTTCCACATGGCTTGCTAAAGGGAGGAATATTGTACAAATTAATATACACTATAATCTATTTATGCTCCTTGCTTTCACAAAACGCACATATTTAATCATTATTTGTAATGATTAAAAAAGCACTTGATACAAACTATTGCAATCTAGAACTCTCAAATAGAAAATATACACAAGAAAAGCAGCAAAAAAACTCTATTTTTATATATTTTTTATCGTGAAGAAATCAGTGGTGTGGTTGGTAGAAAGAGTGAACAATGTCTAGCACAGGCAGAATCCATCTGGAATGCTATTGGACAACAGGATCGTCCAATAAGAGCGTGACCCCGCCCTCCCCTGAAACCTCATTGGTCCTTTCTCTCTCTCTCTCTCTCGAGCTTCCGTTCGGAACTTAGAACTCCATCCGGGGGGGGTTCTAGAATGTCCGAGAGTTCCGCGAACGAGTCCCAGAGTTCCGTGGCGGGTAGCTTTTTTTTTTCTTTTTTTCTACGTATCGGAACCAAGAACAAAGTCTTCCTTCTCCAAAAATATGGAAGTTGCAAAGCTCTGAGAGTCCTGATTGTGCAATCACCTCAAACAACAAATCTCTTCATAGCTAATAAAGTTGCTTAAACCATGGACTTTACATTTGTTTTGCATTCTTAGCGTTGATTGGAGGAGCAGCAAGACAACATGTCACCTTCTCCACACAACTCAAAATGGCTGCACCAAGGAGACGAGAAAAAAATAAAATAATCAGCACACATAAACAAACACAGAATGACAAAGCAACACTCAAGCAGCATGTATGTAGGTTTTTCTCCACTCCATCTCTTCTTTCCTCCTCCAGTTACTCTCGGTTTCATGAGGGCGACTTCTTTATCGACTTGTTGCAAGATAAAGTCCGAAAGAGTACAATCTCAACGCAACGTAAAAGTGTAGTTTGTGTATCAAAGCACAGGTTTGGAGAGTTTACAAAGCAGACCTTTACTTTAAAGTGATACCAATTGTGAGTTCAAGTTCAATGCTTCCTTGGTTGGCAGAAGTGCACCGGAAACCCCTGATATGTTTTTGTTTTTGTGGACAGAAAGTAATGAGCTGAAGCTTATTCCACTGTATGATGCATGGATGGAAGCATTATAGGAGTGTGTACAGATCATTAAGTGTACAGGCTGCTTTGTGAAATAAAAGCATAAAAGGAAGACTAGAAAGAAATTGCCCTCGTTTACAATCGAATGTAATGTGTTTGACCCGTTAAAATATGCACCCAGTATATCCTCTCCATCAGAACTACATGCCTTATTTGTAAGCTCTGTCCTTTAACATCTGCTGTTCGATTGGACTAACTCAGCAACACATTGTACCTGTGCTATGATCATTAATTTACTGCATCTGTAAGCTAGTAAACAATTTGAATTCAATGGGAACACAATGCCACCAATGATATATATATATACTCTTTTTTAGATTAGCAGATTGCATGAGTTGAATCTTGGTGGTGCCATGGAGAACATCTACAACTATCAGTCTATATATCCATCTCATTTACCCTGCTCTTAAACTGGTTCACTGCATTTAATTTAAGCTAAAATATCATATTCTTTCATCCTATACCCTGTGTCATCCAAATCACAACCATCACAACACTTCATATTCCCAAAAGTACCACCATACTTTTCTTTCTCCCATTGTGCACTACCCACCTTTCTTTTTCAAATTATATTACATAGCTTCTTTTTTTTTTTTGTACATACATTTACGTTTGTATATTTCCTTAAAAAAATACACAGAATAGAGAATAATTAAGAAGTTTTTTGGCAGTTTCTCTCTCAGAGGAAAGTCCTGATCATCATCAGTTGTAACAAGAAAGAGACAAAGACTTTTCTCTTAGTCTGAAAAGGAACCTCCAACTTGGTGGTGGAGGAGAAAAAATAAGAACTTATTTCTTTCCTTCCTTCAATCTTCTCCTTTAAAGACTCCTGCGATCACTCTCCCCTCGACTCTTCAGCTCTCTGCCCTTCAAACAGTGGCTCCCAGCAGCTCTTCTGACTTGGCCATGATCTCGTTCTGGTTGGAGTCCAATCCGTAGAACTTGACTTTCAGCCCGTCGACAGGGTGAACCACCGGTACCGTGATCACCCGTGGAAACTCCCGGGTTGCGAGCTCGAATCTGCTGGTGCTGGCCAGCTCGATGGCGAGGATACGGAGAAAGAGGGTCGCGAGTTGTTTGCCAAGACAGGACCGAACACCGCCACCGAACGGCAGGTAGTGGAACCGTCCCTCTTTGTCTTCTCCTCGCTCCTGGCTGAATCGGTCAGGATCGAAGGCGTCCACATCCTTAAAGACGGCCGCGGTGTCGTGGGTGTCCCGAATGCTGTACATCACACTCCAGCCCTTTGGAATCTGGACTCCCTGAAGACACAAAAAGAAACGCAGATAATGAGAAGGGTTGTTGTTTTTCCCAAATCTTGAAACGTCAAACTTGTAATGAATATCTATCGACGTGACTATACTTGGTCCTTGGTTAATATACCGTTAAATCTTTGTGTTTAGGGGTAGAACCTGAGTTATCTCAGACTTTCAAATGTATTTTTTATTCTTTGTATGAACTTCAGATTTAGTGGCTACAGTATTCAGTTGGGAAGACAAAAAGAAACGCCGAAATTGAGCAGGGTTGTTGTTTTTCCCAAATCTGGAAATGTCAAACTTGGAAGGCCAGAAACTTTGCAATTTGGCAAACAATCTGAATGCAGGTTTTCTACAAGCATTGGGGAATTTTCTGGGCACCATTTATCTTCTATCATACCAGCAAATATATATGAATATCTATTGTCGTGTCTTTGTCCCTGGTAAATATGCCCTTAAATCGTTGTGTTTAGGCGTAGTTTCCACAGACTTTCAAAGGTCTTGTGTATTATTTGTATGAACTTCAGATTTAAATCATTAGGTGGCTACAGTATTCAGTTGGGAAGTATTAATAGAATCTGCACTCCCTGAAGCCAAAAAGAAACACAGAAACATGTGCAGGGTTGTTGTTTTTCCCAAATCTGGATACGTCAAATTTAGGAACGTCAAGCTTGTAAGGCCAGAAACTTTGGAATTTGGCAAAACATCTGATTGCAGTTTGTCTACGAGCATTGGGGAATGTTCTATTATACAAGGCACCATTTATCTTCTATCATACCAGCAAATATATATGAATATCAATCGTCGTGACTGCACTTTGTCCTTGATAAATATGCCCTTAAATCTTTGTGTTTAGGGGTAGTTTCCTCAGACTTTCAAAGGTCTTCTTTATTTTTTGTATGAACTTCAGATTAAGTGGCTACAGTATTCATTTAAGAAGTATTAATAGACTACTCACGTCGAGTTCGAAGGTCTGCATGGCGGTCCGGTAGGCCCCTGAGACGGGGGTATAGAGTCTCAGCACCTCCTTGATGACACAGTCCAGGTACTTGAGGCTCACGATGGTGTCCAGCCCCAGCTCTCCGGGCACAAGGCAGCCATTGTGGAGAAGCCCCCGGACCCTCAGCTCCTCCCTCAGGCGCTCCAGGACGGTAGGGTGTTTGAGGAGCTGCATGATTAGTGAGGTGCTCGCACTGGCCGTGGTGGCAAAGGCGGCAAAGATCAGCTCGATAGTGGACTCCTGTGGGAAGATAGAGGAGAAAGAAGGTGTGTTAGTTCACTGTTTTGAGAAAATGTCTGCTTATGAGCCCATGTCACAAGTTATCTTTGTCTAAGAGCTGTGAGCAGTTCAACCACAGTGATTCCCCTCTTTATAAATCATCGTGTAACCCTTTGTTTATGATCTTGCAACCACTGAAACGTTCTTGATACAGCCTCTAAACACATATCGGTTCCTATACACTGTAACTATTCACCACTTTTTTGTGTAAAGCCAGTCATATATATGGAAAGTAAAGTGTCATTTGGCATGAGCACACATTTTGCTTTGCTTCTGATGGGCACTTGAATAAAGGGTCCAGACAGTGGACCTATTTTGTAAATGGTAATATTGTACGCTAAAGTTTGAGGGTGAATATCAGCCAAATGTCCAGCCATAGCCACGATTACTTTTTACGCAATATGTAACCGAACATTAACAGTTTTTCACACCCAGCATGTTGTCAGCGGCATTTTGATTTCTTTTGAAAGTATGAAATATTGTGAAGCAAACTCAAACTTGGACCTCACTTTACTTTTGGCACACAACCATTACCCCACACCTCATGCCTGCCATTTGTTTCATAATGACCAATACATAATAAAAGTATGATGTTTTTCATTCCTAAAAAGTAGCGTACTTGGAAATATGGAGTTCCAGTCCAATAACAACAGTTGGTGCACTATGAAGGTAGTGGAATAAATAACACCACCAAAATAACATCATTATGAACCCCTGATATGCCATCATCAGTGTCAAAACACATCTTCGCCTCCCCCTACATGAGTGTGTTGTAAATGCGTGCGTCAGAAAACTGCAGGAGAGTGCTTCAGCATGGGCCTCTGCGACAGGGGCTCCCCAGTTCACTTTGTGTGTGTATTTATATACTGTATGTGTGTGTGAGTGTGTGCGTACAGGAGGCCTCTTTCAGACCCCTAGCAGGGGGAGTGTTGACTTATTTTTGGCCCTGGACTTAACCCAGAAACCACAGTGAGCGAAATAGAGGCAGCGAGAGTTGAGTTTCCACAGAATTCCTCAGCATTACTTTAATAGGTAAATAGAGGGTGTGCCTGTCTACGAGTGTGTGTGTGTGTGTGTGTGTGTGTGTGTGTGTGTGTGTGTGTGTGTGTGTGTGTGTGTGTGTGTGTGTGTGTGTGTGTGTGTGTGTGTGTGTGTGTGTGTGTGTGTGTGTGTGTGTGTGATTCGGTTACCATCTGCCTACAGGCATCACCTTAGCATCCCTGCAGTCATATTGTACATATAGCTGTATATCATAAGTCACTTTAATTGCTTATGATGCCAAGATGATTTGTAGGAGACATTATGCTAATTGTGTGTGTGTGTGTGTGTGTGTGTGTGTGTGTGTGTGTGTGTGTGTGTGTGTGTGTGTGTGTGTGTGTGTGTGTGTGTGTGTGTGTGTTCAGCCAAGACGGATTCCCTTTGGCAGCACTTTGCTAGGTAAACAGTGAGTGTGGTCTATGTGTGTGTTTGTTTGAACACACAGCATCAGAGCGTGGATCTGCGCTGTACGTGTTAACGCTGTGTGATGGAGTGGCTTCTTGTGCGTCTGGCTTCTCTCCAGCACATGTTTGCACACCTCCCCCCCCCCCCCCCCCCCCCCCCCCCCCCCCCCCCCCCCCCCCCGCGCTCAGGTGATTTCTATGCGTTACCTTCAGTTCCTGCATGGTGAGCTCGGTGCCGTTTTCCTTGGCGCTCCCCATCAGGACGTCGAGTGCGTCGCTGTAATCCTTCCCCTGGGAACACAACGGCTTCTCTCTGATGGCCTTTTCTATGCTTTTCTGCAGGGCGTCTCGTGCACGGATACCCTGTGAGGAAAGACATGTTGTCATTAGCTACCAACCTTTATACAAACATAGATTGATTTAAACACATCTCATGCTTTGTATGTACCCAAAACACATAAACTAGCTTTTGGTCCAGACATGAGTTTGTCATTAGATACCTTCCTGGAAAGAAGTGGAATCATTAGCTCCCAAACTTTTTACTAGTTTGATTTTGATCCAAAAAAAAGGACATGTGACCAGACTACACTTAGTTTATTTAAATCCCAACTCAAAACCTGGTTAGTGAGGAACGTGTATGTTGCATGTTTTTATTTGATTGTATTTACTTGTGTAAAATGAAACGTGTCATTAGGTTGACTTACAAAATCTGTCCAGGGACTGCAAATGAAAAATAGCCTCTTGGCACATTAACAGAAATGTTGATTAATGTGCACTGTCCCTGTTAAATAAATGAATAAATAAAATAATAGTCATGTATGTAATCATTAGCTACCAACCTTTATACAAACGTAGATTGATTTAAACCAATGTACCCATGCTTTGTATGTACCCAAACCACATCAACTAGTTTGCTTTTGTTCCAGACATGAGGTTGTCAACACATACCTTCCTGTATCCGCTGAAGGGCAGGTCTATAGGCAGGCTGAAGAGGTTGTCAACAAAGTCCTGGAAGGTGGAGAACAGATGCCTCATCTCCTCCTCCGACACCCTGAATCCCAACAGCACCCTCACCGCCATCGTGAACGACAATCTCTGGCTCTCCCTGGAGGAAAAACAACACATTAGGACCTCAATCGTATCTATGGATAGACCCTGACTTGTATTTACTCTTGCACCCCATCCCTATCTCATTGTACCTGTATAATGACAATAAAGGATTCTATTATATTATATTCTAGTAGTCTCTTCATGCGTTTCTTCTTGTAGCAATGATCCTACCCTATGTGTAAGTGCAATAACAATGACATGTCTATCCCTTATGAATGTGTTTCTACTCTAGGACTGTCGGTGTACCTGTAGACGTTGATGGGCTCGGGGTTGGAGCTCCACACTCGAAGACTGTCCTGGATCACCTGCTGGATTTTGGGGAGGTAGGACTCCAAGGCCTCGTGGCTGAACACTTTGGCAAACACCTGAACAGACAGAGCAACAGACATATCGTTTCAGATATACAGAAACAGATCAAGATCAACAAGGAGTTTCATGAAATGATCATTAAGTTGTACGACTTGGCACAAGCTTAGACATTTGTTTGAACGACTCCAAGCAGAGCACTGATTAAACAACAAGACTACATGTCATAAAACCCTTCCCTTTGACAGATGTGTAAGTATAAGTGTCTTTAGGAAACTTCAGTGTGGGAAATCATGACTGACAGCGTGTATGAACAGATGGCAGAGGGCTGTAATATTTAAATGAACGCGTTCATCACTTGAACTAAAGTCAATGTTTATTCAATATAACAGACTTTAATAGAGTGCCCATCATCATTTGACACATGCATTATTCAATGACAAACAACATTTGATGGCAAGTCACTTACTCAGCTTTCACTCATGTGCTGAAATGTTGCACAGTTGATTCTTGGATTAAAGTGACCCCCCTCTTTTTCCCTTCTGTCACATCTCTGACACATTTTCTATCCATTAATCCGTCTCGCTCGCTCTCGAATTATACCTAGACAAGACTTTCCATCGTGTGTTCAATCGTATTCATTTTCTTATTCATCCCCCCTCCCCTCTTTACAGAGACGTATACATTGTGGAGGTTTTCCCCTGTAGTCAGCAGAAGCAGAAGGACAGGCAGAAAGAGCAAGAGAGATGAGGAGGGGGGGGGAGGGGGAAGAAGAGTTAAATCTTTCCTGGCTGCTCGGAGTATTTCTTAGTAGGAATCAGTCACCAGTCGTCAGTGGACAAATAACATTCCTTCTGATTTACCCTCCAAAAACACCCCTAAAAACAGTCTTGAAAATGATTTAGAAGTGGAGAACATTGAGTAGACTAGACAAGAATCAGGTTATATTAACACAGTCATAATCCATTGAGTTCTACTTGGCCGAAATGTCATTTTTTTTGTCATGAACACGAACAATTGATTATTTTAGCAATGACTTTTTGAGAGGGTTAAGCTATAGAGGACTGTTTTATGCTTCAAGTTAAGTTACTATTCTAGGTTTTATTCAATCAGTAATCACAGGAAGGCAGTGCAGGACATTGTAGAGGAAGTTAAGCCACTGGTACACATGGTTTGTATTATCTGCGCAGCGAAATGGAAATACTCTCGAGATAAATACTTCTCTCTAATGATCAGTGGCTGGTGTATCAATTCACTTTCGCATTTACATTATGTTCGTCCGATAACTTTTTTGTTTATTTAATGATCTCCCTCTCATTGTCCGACCTGAAGGAACTCATAATTGCTTCCCGTCTGTGGTTTTCTCAATTTGTTTATGGGTTCTTTTTTTATGGCTTTTATGAAACATGCAGATAAACTATGAATTAACCTTTTCGAAAAACCGGTACTATAACCCTAACCATGCAGAAGGAACACACTTTATTATGTATCTGCAATATGTTTTCAATAAGGTAATCCATTGAAATGGCAAGACAAAGTGTTCTTGCTTGTTTTCACAGAGACATAATGGAGTCTCAGAGGAAATAAAGGAGCTTCTAGAAGGATTTGAGCCCAACATGTGGTTCCTGAGGTCGATGTTTCAGCCACTAAACCATCAGTTGGGCGCTCGTACTTTTATTTGGTCCTCTACCTCATTTTCCTCTTATTTCAACTTCTCCTCTATTGCCCTTTTACATCTCTCTCTCTCTCCCATCATTCCTTCAAACCATGCTTCCCTCCCTCCGTCGCCCTCAGAATGAATGAACAATAGTCCACTGAGCTGGTGCTGTGTGTGTGTGTGTGTGTGTCAAAGTGTGTGTGTGTGTGAATGACATTGTATTGGGTGTATATATATATATATATGCTGTGTGTGTTAGGGAGTGGTTAGTGCAGATCACAGGGCGCTCTAAGACGTTAGCAGCACTACATTTCCTCTACTGCCGCACCCTGGGGCTGCTGGTCCCAGATCAGCTTACATGACCTGCTCTCCACCCCCGACCACAGGGGATTACACACACTATCTGACCTCAGGCTGCGGAAAAAACACCAGGCTGTCCCTTCTTCCTTTGGGCTAAATCAATGCCAACATATGATTGATTTGTCACCATCGGGTCATCCATTGGATAAGAACTAGGGTTAGGGTTTTGGACACCACTGTTTTGGAATTGGATGAAACTTGGAGGAATGATGATTTTAGTATTTAAAAAATGACATTGATTGTCCCATGACGCTAACTATGGTCACACAGTAATACCAAGTTTCATATTTGGTGGATTGGCTTGAAAAAAAGGACGTCTACTTGTGTCATATTTGTTTGTCACTTTGTTGGTTGCTTAGTTAAACATTAGGTTGGTTGCATCAAGTCATGTCTTGTCATACGAGTAATTGAACTGATTATATAGTCCATCAGTCACGTCTTTCTATGGTTACGCGGTCAGTTTTGGTACGCTGTTTGAGATTTAGTGGGCTATGAAATCATTCATTTTTGGGGGTTTCTTCACAGAATTGGCTGGTTAATCCGTCATTTCATATTTGATTCAGTTTCCGATCAATTGCCTGTTCACGTTAACGGGTTTGAAACCATGACTCAGCTATTTATCTGTTCCTGAGCCAGCTGTTTGTTGATCACTCGCCTGAGGGCTAGACGAACATAATACAAAAAGATCAGGGGAATATTGGTTAAGCCAAAAGAGGGGTTGTGTAACGTAGTGAATTTAGCCATTTAACCCGTCTGCACTGGATTATGCATAATTGGTCAATTTGAGCGAGTGCTTTGCCTATTCCTACACACACACACACACACACACACACACACACACACACACACACACACACACACATTCATAAATAGCCGCAGAGCTACTGTGAGTCAGTCAGTCGCCGTGTGTGTGTGCAGGGACGCCAAGACTGAAAGGTAACTACAGGTCAGACTAGCACACACACACACACACACACACACACACACACACACACACACGCGCGCATTATGGTATCTCTCTACATGTTTTTATATGCCGTGTCACTCTGGGACAGGATTGTTGGGTCATTTTGCTGCACCACAAAAACGTGACTGTCTTCTGAAGCCTGCAGCGCAAAGACACACACCCTGTCACACACACACACCCAGACTCTTACACACACACACACACACACACACACACACAGGCACGGTCGTCCTAATAACGTCCATATGTCTTAAATTATGTGAAAGTGCTGCGAGCTGCTGGTTCCACAGACATGTAAAGACTCCTTTATTCTTCTCTCTCTCTCCTTCTCTCTTTACTCCCACCTCTTCCCGTCTCTCCCTGCCCCTTCATCCATCCTTTCGTTTTTTTAAAACACTTTTTATTCCTTTCTCTTAGTCAAACAAGCAGTCCATACGTCCGTCTCTATCATCACCTCGAATCAGAAAGGATTTGCTTTGTCTGCGAGTTTAAGATGAAAAGGTCACCGCGGCCATGTAAAGTTAACGTTACAAAAAATGCACTAATTCACATTAATTCAGCGTACTGTTGATCTAAAAGCATGTTAACAGAACTACACCTTGTGTTCTTTAACATCCACAAACATTTAGTTAATGCGTGTGACCCTTTGAGCTTGTATTCCCTAAGAAAAGTAACGCAAAACTACCTCAGGTGCTCCATTAAAGTATATCAAAGTAACTTTATTTGCTATTTATCATTGTATTACACTAATACGTTGACTTTGCATTCATCAAACATCATAACTGTGTTTTTTGTATTACGTCCAAAATGAAAACAAAACATCCGCTGAACTGCAGCCTTTTTTATTGCAAATGAACAGTAACACAGTTTAAATGTTGCCGCATGTTCAACTCTACATATAATACTATATTTACACTTCACTACAATTCACTATTCATGTATATTTTTGTATTTAAATGTGACTTTAGTGACTGATTATTCTGAGTAAAGAGGGGGTAGACAGCTCAGCTAGAAATTGGCAGTGCCCTCTACTGGTGATGAGCAGAATCACAGGACACACACACACACAGGACACACACACACACACACACTTCTTGTTTAAAGCACCACTACATTGATGGCTCTCCTTTATTTCTCCCTGATTATCAGTGCGAGAAAAACACGAGTAGAGAGGAAAGGAAAACCGGCCTGCATGTAAAACAGTCTGAAAGAAAACAGGTTGAGGATGTCAGGTTGAACGTGACACTTAAATTGAGGCAGATGGCAATTCAAATACCACCACATGTCCTTTTTTTTTTGTATTCCTTTCCAATCTCCCCCCCCCCTCTGTTTTCCCTGCCTGTGTTTCTCCTTTTCCTAAATGTAGGGATAGGGGGACGATTCCAAAAAAAGAAAAACAAGGGGGGAAGGAAAATGTGGAGAGTTTGTGCAGCGGAGGAACAGAAGAGAAATAGTGAGGTATGTCAGGAGGGTGAAAATAAAGAGCTGGCTGCCACTGTCAACACGCTGTATTTGCATGAGTGCGCCCAACTTGGATTCTCTGTGTTATTTCAGTTTAGAGCGACATTTTTCCACTGCAGGTCATGTGGGGCTTACTGTTTACTACTTCACCTTTAAAGTGTGTTTTGTCCGTTTGTATCAAATCTGAATCCTGTCAAATGCCAGTGTTGGTTTAAATGCAAGCCATATTGATGGACTTGAATCTGGAAACGTATCCAAAAAATATATATTTCAGTTCAAAACCTCAGGAGTTTGGGGTGTGTGACATTGCTATTGTCATTTCCTTGATAAGAGTGGAGAAGTCTTTCTACATATCAGTGTGTTTTGTCAGTTTGTATTGCCTGGCAAGCTAGACTAAGGGTCCTTAATAAGCATATACTATGATTATCAGAGAGTAAGAAAGGACAAATGTCCCCTCAGAAGAAAATAGTCCTGGGATACAATCCAACAATAAAAGGTTGATTTTATCGAATCTGAATGACGTCAAATTCCTGTGTTCTTTCTGCCAATTTTTCATCAAGACTCCATGGTTTAAATATATGCAAGCCATATTGATGCCTACTGTAAATGAGATTGGACTTGAGTCTGGAAACAGATCCAAAGAAATATGTCTGTTTTGATATCCAGGTTTCGATATCCCAAAACATCGGTGTGTGACATTTGCTTTTTGCAACTCCTGCTATTGTCCTTTCCTTGATAAGAGAGGAGAAGTCTTTTTTTATGAAGCCTGTCACATAGGCGTTTAAGCTGAGTGCAGAAAGAAAACGTGTTAATCAAGACTGAAGCGTTAATCAGTGATCAAAATGTCTGTCGTACAGAAGAAATACATGTGTTTGAAGTTGTTTGTCAGACACTTGGATGATGTGTGAGTCCTGTTTGGCGCTGTAGTGGAAAAGCAGTGTCCTCCCTCTTAGTTTCCTAGCCTAACACTGGCTTGTATGGAAACTGGCTGGCTCTGTTGATCCACCAAAGGCTAATGTTCTGGGTGAAAAGTGTTTTTCCCAAAGAAAAACCACAACGAGGGCAGACACACACACACACCGTTCTTCAGTTCTGGTCCACTGGGTCGGACAGTAAGCTGGTCGCTCCATTCGTTTCTTTCCAGTCGATGTATCGCTTCTACTGTTGGCTTTATTTGACTGTGCAGAAAACAGGATATTGAGCTGCCAAACACAAACACACTCTCTACCAAATATGACAACTGCCCTCTTTGCCATTATCTCTCTCTCTGTATTCTTCGTTGTTCTGAGAATCACACTTATCGATCAATATGCATACAAATATATAGCTAACTTTTGCACTTCACTGGCACTTTTTATTCCTCTTTTGGTTCATTTTCCGGGACACAACTCATACTAACTTTCCCTTTCTTCTTCTGTTTCTTCCAAACAAACTTAAAAATGTATATACAGTAAAGACTTGAGGGAAATGCAGACGCTTGCATTCAAACTGGATGACAAGTGTCTTAAAAATGAGCCACTACAGTCAAACTCTGTAATATAATACTTCATCCCTGGACCTCTATCCGGAAAACCTATTTCCTTTTGCCTCATTAGGGGTCAGGGGTCATGGGCAGAATCACAGGAAGCAAGTAGGAGATTGCTTCTCTTGCTCAAAGGCACTTCAGAAGTATATTTCATTCGACTATAACAAACATTACTGACCATATTCTCCTCTATGTTACTGGTGTGTGTGTGTGTGTGTGTGTGTGTGTGTGTGTGTGTGTGTGTGTGTGTGTGTGTGTGTGTGTGTGTGTGTGTGTGTGTGTGTGTGTGTGTGTGTGTGTGTGTGTGTGTGTGTGTGTGTGTGTGTGTGTGTGTGTGTGTGTGTGTGTGTGTGTGTGTGTGTTGGGCCCCCACAGAAAGCCCCTCTTTGTGCTGTGTTGGAGGCAGCCTTCCTAATCAGGGGTCATTACATGAGGTTAGTGTGGGGGTCTCCAGGGAGAGGAGAGGGGATCAGAGCCTAGATTAGACCCAGCCGACCCCTCACTTTCCCCGGGCAAAAAAAATGATATTAATAATAATAATAATAATCTCCCTCCTTCCTCTTTCCTCCCTGCTGAGAGAGAAACACTACAGACTGATTCACACTAACGTTTCTGACATTTGTACGGGTGTGTTTATCTGTGACTTGGTGTGTATGTGAATCAAATGTGTGTGTGTGTGTGTGAGGGGAAAGAGAGAGAGAGAGAGAGAGAGTTAGGGAAGGTATGTGCCTCGGGGATAACGGGATAATAGGAGGGAGAGGTAAGTGGCTGATTACCTGAAATGGTCCTGGCACGGAAAAGAGAGACAGAAAAAAGAAGCTAAGAGAGACATGAGGTCAAAAAAGGCTCTCGAGAAAAGACTGAGAAGTCAATAAAGAAAGAAAGATATGTATACTATAGTCAGAATAACAGAGGAATTAGGGAAAAGCGGTGAAGATAAGAAGCTAAAAAAGGAAACCGGTAGCCTAAATAACGGGTGATTCTCTCCCTCCATGTAAATGAGGGGAGAAAAGGGAGAGATGGAGGGTCCGTTCTCACGCTTCAGTAGCCAGGACGCTGCTGATAAGACGGTATAGCTTTACACTGATACTCTGTGTGTGTGTGTGTGTGTGTGTGGGTGTGGGTGTGGGTGTGTGTGTGTGGTGTGTGGGTGTGGGTGTGTGTGGGTATGTGTGTGTGTGTGTCCTACCTCATTGTGTAGCAGAAGACTCCAGTGCTTTTGACAGTGGACGCTTTTATCTTACAAGTGCATGTGTGTGTTGGTGTGTCTGTGTTTTTATATCTGTCTCAATCTGTGGCGATTCTGCCGTGTGAAATGTTCCACAATATATGGTATCTAGTACGGATTAATAACTACAAACTTTATGATAAATAAGCTTCAAAACTTATAATGGTGTGGAAACATTATACGGAATTTAAACTTTGTTCGATATATCTTTGAAGCCAACATGGATGATTTCGATCAAAGGATCAGTGGAATATACCCAGTAAGAATTGGCATGACTGAAAGAACGACCTTTTGAAGGATTCATTCATTCAACAAATGCTTAATTCTCTTCCTGTCCCCTCGTAAGAAACACCAATCCCAACGTGTGTATTTGAGTATCTAAGGATCAATGGAATATGACTTCTAGGGAAAAGAACGACCTTTCATTCATTCATGAAATGCTTGTCAAAGAAGACACTTGATACCATTTGTACCCTAACCCTCGTAAGAAACACCACTCCAAGCGTGTGCAAGATTTAAACTTTGGTCGATATATCTTTGAACCCTACATGGTTGATTTTCGATCAAAGGATCAATAGAATATGACTTCTAGGGAAAAGAACGACCTTTTGAAGCGTTCATTCATTCATGAAATTTCAGACTTGATCTGACCATTAAAGTATTATCGTATCGTATGAAATAAGGGGCTTGATACCATTTGTCCCCTAACCCTCGTAAGAAACACCAATCTCAGCGTGTGCATGTGTGTGTATTTGAGTATCTGTTTGTTTGCTGACCTTCCTCCTTTTGCGGTGGATGTCTCCGATGCTGTTGGCCAGAGAGTTTGGTCCCAGCAGCGTGGCGGTGCTCTGAGGCCAGTCCGTGGTCACCAGCGTGTGTTCGCCCATCAGAATTTTACGCACGTTCTCTGCACCCGTCACTCGGATCAGAGGCCGGCCCAGCAGATGGGTCTTGAACACGTTGCCGTACTTCTGCCTCCGTGACGAATGGAAACCCGAACCCTAGACGGAGAGGAGACGTGAATATTAATCATTGAGTTGAAAGGGTTTCAACGAGTACAAAGAAGTTGTGGATTATTCAAGAGATGTGGGGTAAAAATAACTTTCGGAGGCAGTTTCAACTGGATACATATTAACGTGAAGAGGGGAGAAAGGTTATCAGTCACTGGTCACTTGGATACAAGACTAATGGACGAATTATTAATGAAAAACATAATTCATACGGCTTTTATTCACTTCATAAAGATCTGTATTCACACAAGAAGATACACAATTAAGTCTTGGAAGCTTTAAGAAAGCGTGAGAAAGCGATGAGTTGCTTGGGTTGAGTAAGACTTTAAGGAAATTATGTGAGTTTTGCTGAAAGGTGGAATTTCCCTTTACCAGCAGAGAAAGGTGTGAGAGGAAATCCCCAAACACTTCTCCCTGTTCAGCTGACGTTAGAGAAACACTTTTCTTATCCCTTCAGTAAATGGAGATCCCAATCATCTCCTACTAATGATTTTTTGTCTTGATCTTGACCTTTCTTTTGCTCAATTGGAATCAGAAAAAACGTGCCAGAATTGTGTAAAAGAAGGACTTCTCCGAGGTCGCCTGCTTGCTTTTGCTTTCTCTTCCTTTTTAAGGATGCTTTGTAAAGCTAAGACAATCATCATCATCATCATTCTGCTCTTTCCTCCCATCACATCATTACTAAAACTCGCTCGACAAGCCGCCAAATGACTCCAACGGTATTTTGCGAACCAGACAGAAAAGTGACCAAAACCTTTCAAGTTTACGCTCTGCAGCAATTCTTACGACTGATTTTTAACGCTTGCTATTAATTTAAAGGAGCCTTTAGGATCTGACCTTCTCCCCAGCTTTGATCTTCACCTCTAAAAGCTCTCAGAAAGTATTTTCTCTCTCTGTGGTTTGGGGCCCAAACAGACATTTTCTGCTGAGCCCCCACATGCTAAAAGTTACTGATGTTTCCATCGTCTCCAGAGGACAAAACTGCAGATGTTTAAGAAGCCCCGTATAAACACCAGGTTAATTCAATGAAAGCTGATTCAGCATGCCTTCAGGACCTGATCTGAGTTCAGATTTAACATCGACCAATGAAGAGGTCAGGACAAAGGTTCTCCAAACAACTTCAAGTACAGTAAATGTAATATGTCATCAAGATAGGAAAGGAATATAGGATCAGATTTAGATGTGTTCCCTCAAGGGTTTGATCGATTTCAGCCTCCGTTTATACGTCTATCAAAAGTACCAAATGAATGACAGCAGGGGACAGGAACTCCACTTGTATTTACAGACAACCCAAGAAAGAAAGCCAAGGCACAACAAGGCCATGACATCCCAACAATCATTTGTGTATTCGCCCTCTTTACTCAAATCTACTCCAACATTGTATGGGTTCGTCCTTCACCCATCTTCAGCCTTTCAACGAGTTTTGTTGAAATTTGGCCAGTTGTTTTTCTGTTATCTTGTTATCTTGACTATTATCACAACTATGACATCCTTGGTCGATGCTAACATTTTAGCTACATGTTTTCAACTCGGACCCACTAGAAGAAGCCGTACAGCCATTAGTTTTTCTGTGCTCTTGCAGACGATAAGACAGTCAAACTCAACAAACACAACTATGACATCCTTGGTTGACGCTATCAGAAGGGGAAGAGCAAAAATGATAGTTGATCTTGAGGAAACGAGACACAGAAATATCAAATGAATTAGCGTTTAGCAGAAGATGCTAAACTTGACTTGCTACTCTTTACAAGTTGTCCAGATTTCTCGCTGAATAGCATTCAGAAGAACATTTTAGCTCAATTTTTTACACTCTGACCCACTAGAAGAAGCCGTACAGCCCATTTCCGGGCCCTCTCGCCACAGTTTGAGCAGCCTGGCTGTCAGTAAACCCCAGAGGAGCGGAGCTGGAGTCAGTTAGCGATCTGACCCGAGTTCAGCTTTGACGCTGACCTCTAAACGGTCCGGGTCACGGCAGAGCGAGAGGGAGCCGACCCCAGAACTGTAAATGGGCTGTTTGAGTGAAAAGAATATATATCAGCCTGAGGGCAGCTTACTGTGTTACACACACACACACACACACACACACACACACACACACACACACACACACACACACACACACACACACACACACACACACACACACACACACACACACACACACTGGCAGACAAACACATCATTCACACACACACATACAGTAAAAACACACATGCATGTTTGGCTACACACATACTGCAAATTCATAAAAACGTACAAAAAGAACTGTGCAAAGCAAACAAACACGCAGAGGCCTAACTGCAAATTGCCGTGACAACACTAACTGGTTTGACCCCAGTTTACTCCTGGGGAAAGAGATATGTACGACTATGAAGCACGCACACACGCACACACACACACACGGGTGACATATGTAAACATACGCGCCAAAGAAGCAGTACCATGAGCTGCTGTAAAACACTTTAGTCCCACATGTCTCTCGTTTCTGTATTTTCTTCGAGTGCTTTTTTAAAAATTATGTGTGTAAGCAAACTTTCCTCTTAATTTTTTCCCTTTTATTCAGAAGGGAATTCACATTAGGAGCTACTGTAACCCTTACACTACTGGAAAGCCTCCGTGTGTGTGTGTGTGTGTCTTTGAGAGAGAGCTGAGTGTGTGTTCAGATATGTACAGTAAGTGTGTGAATGCAGAGCTCTTTCTGGGACTAATTTTAGCAGGTAGTTTGTTTCCTGTTTGAGACACACCTCTCACAGCAGTGTGTGTGCACAAACATCGCTTCATATTTGTCAGCTTCCCACTAAAGCTGCAAATATATCCTCAGTGATTCTGGTTTAATCTGTGGCCAGTGAAGACGTTTAATACAATAACATGTAAGTAACAGAATCTAAGTACCTGCTCAGCTGCAAGTCGTTCAAAAACTATAGCTGTTGGTGCCAGGAACATTCAACATCTGTTCAACTTTGTGGATCGTACGATTAATACCCACTACTGTCTTTAAGAGGCAGAAATGAGTGCAATACTATAGGAATAAAGTTAAAGTAAGTATACAGTAATGCTATATTGAACAAATGAACTGTCTCCTTTCTGCCTTGTGTCTTTTTGACTACCGTAAATAATGAAAACACTTCATCAATCGATAGGAAACACTTGTAAAAACTGCTGCAATGTGTTTTATTTTGTACATTTCTACCATATTTTAGTTTAGTCAAGTATCGCTAAGAATGACGCCCCATATTTGACAATTACACACTTCACGGTTCACCTAACAATGTGTGGAAAGTGAGGGTGTGGACGAGACCAAATGTAATCCCCTGTGACAAGCCTGAAATAAACGTTTTTATTAGCCGTAACCACGACCTTAACCATCGTTCATTTGTAATAACCGCCATCCTTCCCCAACGTCCATCGTACCAAACGTATCGGAAGAAGTGGGAATATTTACAATGATGCCAACGGACGTAGAAAATGTCGTTTCAGAATCATCCATCTGCGTTATTTGTCTTTTTGGATCCAGCTTGTTTTCATACCAATGTTTAAACGGTCAGGTGCGACACAACTTCATTTGACTTTTCTGTCTACTATTTTCTTCTCGTTGCATCTCCTTCTGCTTCCTCACATCTTAACGTCTCTCTGTGTGAACTCGGCCCAAATTGAGCACAGATGCTCCAGCCTCTCTGCTGCTTCATGTTTCTTTGAAAACTCTTGATTGCCAGACTGCTTTTATAGATGAAAAATGCTGCTAATTAGCATTCTGCCCGGCTCTGTGGCTGTAGTTTGTCACTGAGCTTAAGCTACTTCAGATGTTGAGCCCTTTTCATGAGGTGTTGACATTATTTTATCTACGCTGTGCTTTTTGGAGATTTGTGTTTTCGGGGTTTTGCTTAATAAGGATATTTTGTTGCAGCTGCAATGCATTCTGGTCTACAGTTTGATCCTGTAGTTGTAGAAAGACAGCAACCGTTATTTCATTTTTTTAAGGAAAACTGGACTTTTAAACCTGACCTTTGGATGGCAGACGTCATAGTTACTGGGAATAACCACCTAAATGTCCAGTGAGCTACATTTCGGTTTGTAAATAAAACACTCGCTCTTTTATCCTTCACCTTTGCAAATGTCGGTTTCTTTTTCTCTCCCGGTCGACCTGTCTAGAAACAAACTGTTGACCTGAACTGTTTTCACAGCTCCTGTACACTTCCTCTTTTTACTGTGGCATGCACACACACATAGACACACACACACAGACACACACACAGACACACACACACACACACACCACACACACACACACACACACACACACACACACACACACACACACACACACACACACACACACACCAGGTCGCCGGCTGGCCTCTGGAGCCCTCGGGGTGTGTGTGTGTGTAAGAGGTGGGTTGTTTTCCAAGCTACATTTTGCTGCCACATGGATGTAGAGTGGTTTAGTATGTCTGCCTGGCAGGCCTGCTTACACACACACACACTGAACACACACACACACACACACACACACTGAACACACACACACACACACACACACACACACACACACACACACACACACACTGAACACACACACACACACAGTCCAATTCGAAGGGAGTTCCTCAGTCAGCGAGACAAGGCTCCCTTTCACACTCCAAGATACAGCACCAGATTGGGTCGATTGTGTACTTCTTTGGAGTGTATGTGTGTGTGTGTGTGTGTGTGTGTGTGTGTGTGTATGTTTGTGTGTGTGTGCTTCTACGTGCATTACGAGCGTCTCTTCATACTTTTCCTCTTTCCATTCCTCTCTATTTTCTTTTCACAGACACATTTTGGCAGGATACTGATGGTTTCATTCGTCTTAAGTCCCCGGGAAAATAATTGTACGTTGGTCAGACAAAAAACGTACACTAAAGTCGTGTGTGTGTGTGTGTGTGTGTGTGTGTGTGTGTGTGTGTGTGTGTGTGTGTGTGTGTGTGTGTGTGTGTGTGTGTGTGTGTGTGTGTGTG